TTTTGAGAAAGGGTCTCACTCTATTGCCTAGAATGGAGTACAGTGGTGTGATCATGGCTCACTGCAGCCTCATCCTCCCTGAGCTCGGGTGATCCTCTCACCTCAGCCTCCTGAGTAGGTGGGACTATAGGTACATACCACCACACCCGGCTAATTTGTGTATTTTTAGGAGAGATGGTGTCTCCCTATGTTGCGCAGACAGGTCTTGAACTCCTGGCCTCAAGTGATCTACTAGCCTTGGCCTCCCAGAGTTCTGGGATTACAGACATAAGCTACTGGGCTCGACCAGTTTCAAAAGTTTCTACAGTGATAGTATATTATATTATTTATTTAGTTAGTTTGTTTTTTATAGAGATGGGGTCTCACTGTGTTGCCCAGGCTAATCTTGAACTCCTGGGCTTAAGTGATCCTACCACCTTGGCCTCCCAAAGTGTTGGGGTTACAGGCTTGAGCCACTGCATCTGGCCAACAGTGTATAATTTTTGTAATTTTTTTTTTCAGACAGTCTCACTGTCACCCATGCTAGAGTGCTGTGGTACGATCTCCACTCACTACAACCTCCACCTTCTGAGTTCAAACAATTCTCCTGCCTCAGCCTCCCAAGTAGCTGAGATTACAGCCACCCACCATGATGCCCAGCTACTTTCTGTGTTTTACATTTCTCATTGTGTAATTTTTTTTGGCTTAGTTTATAGGCTTATGTTAATTTTATAATTTTGTCTATATCTGTAAGTATGATTTAGATTAATAAATAGCCTTTTTGGCTGGGCATGGTGGCTCATGCTTATAATCCCAGCAGTTTTGGAGGACAAGGCAGGAGGATCTCTCTCTCTCTTTGTTTTTAAATGAGATGGAGTTGCAATCTTGTTGCCCAGGCTGGAGTGCAATGGTGTGATCTTGGCTCACCACAACCTCCACCTCCCAGGTTAAAGCAATTCTCCTGCTTCAGCCTTCTGAGTAGCTAGGATTACAGGCATGTGCCACCCTGACCAGCTAATTTGTTGTATTTTTAGTAGAGAGACGAGGTTTCTCCATGTTGGTCAGGCTGGTCTCCAACTCCTGACCTCAGGTAGTGTGCCTGCCTTGGCCTCCCAAAGTGCTGGAATTATAGGTGTGAACCACTGTGCCCGGCCGGGAGGATCTCTTGAGGCCAGGAGTTTGAGACCAGCCTGGGTAACATAGTGAGACCAGTCTGGGTAACATATCTTGTCTCTACAAAAGATTTAAAAAAGTAGGTGAGTGTGGTGGCATGCACCTGTGGTCCCAGCTACTTGGGAGGCTGAGGTGGGAAGGATTTCAGCCCGGAAGTTGAGGTGACAGTGAGCTATGATGCTGCCGCTGCACTCCAACCTGGGCAACAGAGTGGGACCCTGTCTGAAAAAAAAAGCCTGGCGTGGTAGCTCATGCCTGTAATCCTAGCACTTTGGGAGTCCGAAGCTGAGGCCAGCAGATCACCTGAGGTCGGGAGTTCAAGACTAGTCTGGCCAACATGGTGAAACCTCATCTCTTCTAAAATACAAAAATTAGTTGGGCATGATGGTGGGTACCCATAATCCTAGCTACTTGGAAGACTGAGATGGGAGAATTGCTTGAACCTAGGAGACAGTGGTTGCAGTGAGCCGAGATCATGCCACTGCCCTTCAGCCTGGGTGACAGAGCAAGATTCCGTCTAAAAGAGTGTGCCACTATTTTTTTTTTTTTTTTTTTGGATACAGAGTCTTACTCCTTACTCTGTTGCCAGGCTGGAGTACAGTGGCGCGATCTTGGCTCACTGCAACCTCTGCCTCCCGGGTTCAAGGGATTCTCCTGTCTTAGCCTCCCAAGTAGCTGGGACTATAGGTGCGCACCACCACGCCCAGCTAATTTTTGTATTTTTAGTAGAGGCAAGGTTTTACCATGTTGGCCAGGCTGGTCTCAAATTCCTGACCTTGTGATCTGCCTACCTCAGCCTCCCAAAGTGCTGGGATTACAGGCGTGAGCCACTGCGCCCAGCCAGTGTCCCACTAATTTTCCTTGTAAGTTAATTTAAGTTAATCTGTACAGTTTTTGCAAGTACTAACTAAAGTTGATTTGTTTGTTTAGCAAAATTAAAAATGTAAATGAGAAAGAGTTTAATATAAATTATATTATTTAGGACATTGATTTCATTTTTACAGACCTTAACACGTGAACAGAAAGAAGGAGCCTTCTCCAATTTCCCTATTTCTGAAGAGACTATAAAGCTTCTGAAAGGTATGCAGTTTTGGTTTTTTTTTTTTTTTTTTTTTTTTTGCGTTGTTTGTTTGTTTGTTTTTGAGACAGAGTCTTACTCTGTCACCCAAGTTGTAGTGCAGTGGCGCAATCTTGGCTCACTGCAACCTCTGCCTCCCAGGTTCAAGGAATTCTGCTGCCTCAGCCTCCTGAGTAGCTGGAATTATAGGCATGTGTCACCACACCCAGCTAATTTTTGTATTTTTAGTAGAGACAGGGTTTCACCATATTGGCCAGGCTAGTCTTAAACTCCTGACCTCATGATCCACCTGCCTCGGTCTCCCAAAGTGCTGGGATTACAGGCGTGAGCCACTGTGCCCGGCCTATTGTCATTTTCAAATGAATGTATTTTTTCCTAATGCTAGCCTTAAAGAAATATTTTAATGGAATCTCATTTTACAGGTCGAGGGGTAACATACCTCTTTCCTATTCAAGTTAAGACTTTTGGTCCTGTATATGAAGGAAAAGATTTAATAGCTCAAGCACGGACAGGAACAGGAAAGACATTCTCTTTTGCCATTCCCTTGATTGAAAGACTACAAAGAAATCAAGAAACAATTAAAAAAAGCCGCTCACCAAAGGTAATCATTATAGGGAGTAAGAGCTTTAAATGTTAACGTAACGGAAAGGGAAAGAAAGAGTTACACTTTTCTTTAGTCTTTATTCTTTCTTTAGTCTTTAAGATTTTCTATAGTCTTAAGTTACTAGTACCCCCAAGATAGAAAAGTAGAGCTGTGGCATAAAGCAAAAATATGTTATTTTTCACAAAAAGAAATCTCAAGAGAAGTTGAAGTGAAGTACTTATTGCATATGAATGTGATATGCGTGGATCCATAGATGTCTTTGATAATTTTATGTATTATAAAGCCAGTAAATCTTATTTACAGTTTAAATATTTAGTTGACTCTTTTCTTTTTTTTTTTTTTTTTGAGACAAGAGTTTCGCTCCCGTTGCCCAGGCTGGAGTGCAGTGGTGCAATCTTGGCTCACTGCAACCTCCGCCTCCTGGGTTCAAGTGATCCTCCTGGCTCAGCTTCCCAAATAGCTGGGATTACAGCTATTACACCCATTATCATGCCCAGCTAATTTTTGTATTTTCAGTAGAGACAGGTTTTTACTATGTTGGCCAAGCTGGTCTTGAACTCCTGACCTCAGGTGATCTGCCTGCCTTGGCCTCCCAAAGTGCTGGGATTACAGGCGTGAGCCACCCCACCCAGCCTACTTGACCGTTCTCTTTTTTCCGTCCTGACTTTTGCTTTTAAACAAGTGAATTTTCTAAAGAGACATTCATTTATTTGTCATTCGGTAAATGTTCAGTATCATTTATTTCAGTGTTGACTTTTTTTCCCTTTAGTATAGAAAGCTTCATGAATTTTCGTGTCATCCTTGTGCAGGGGTCATGCTAATCTCTGTGACATTCCAATTTTAGTGTATGTGCTGCTGAAGTGAGCACACACAGATGGACTTTTTAAGAAGAGTATTATAGAAATTATATTGCTAGTTCATATATTATTGGAGTACTAGACATCTGTCTTATTTTATAAATGTAAAATCAACCAACAGAGGAGACTAGTAAAATATAAGCCTAAAATTTGACCTAAAAAGCAAAGCTGTGTATACTTAAGGATTGTAAAAATGAAGAAAAATACTGTCATCATCATATGAACACCTGAATGACTAAAAGTAATTTGTTCTTTCTAAGGCTTCTGAGTGGTATTATAAGAGCAAATTAACATACATAAATATAATTAAATCATAATCGTCTTGGATCAGCTATGCTGACTTACAGGATAAATGGATAAATCTTTTTGGAGAGTTACGTTTTTGGGGTGAAATTAGGAAAAGACTGAAATAGGACATAATTTCAACACTGCTTTTTTTTTTTTTTTTTAAGAGACAGGGTCTTACCCTGTTGCCCAGGATGGAGTACAGCAGGGTGATCATGGCTCACTGTAACTATGAACTCCTGGGCTCAAGCAATTCTCTCCTCCTCTCAGTCTCTCCAGTAGATAGGACTACAGGCAGGTGCCACCATACTTGGTTAATTTTTAAATTTTTTGTAGAGTTGGGGTCACGCTATGTTGCTCAGGCTGGTTTTAAACTACTGGCCTCAAGCAGTCCTTCCACCTGGTCTTCCAAGGTGTTGGGAATTATACGTGTTAACCATCATGCCTGGCCCCAAAGCTGCCTTAAAAAGCTTTTGTATGAGACAGATGTTAACTGGAGATTCCAGCTCCACCATTTCTAGCTGTTTGATTTGGGGCAAGACTTTACTTCTCTGGGACATAAGTCTCTCATCTATGAAAATGGTGTAATAATGCCACCCATGGGTTTTTATGAAAATCAAATTAGATAATTCCTGTAAAGCATTAGTTCCCAGCACATGGTGAACAGTCATTCATTTAACAAATGTTTCTGAGTTTCTTGTACTGTACCAAGCACTGTTTGAAGTGTTAGGAATATAGTAACCCAAACTGACATAAATCCCTGCCTTCATGGAGCTTACATTTTATTGGATGAGATAGACAATCAGCAAATAAGTAAAATATCATTATCTTAGGTGGCATCAGGGCTGAGAAGAAATGATAAGGGCAGGGAGATATGAAAGGAGGCTTGAGAACCTCACTAAAGAGACCTGAAGGAAGGGAGGAGGATATAATAAATATATGCTGGTGTTCTTATTTGCTATTTGTGCTGTGTCTTTAAGTACTTACGACATTAATGTTAAGATTCCTGGTTTTAAATGCACCTAAAAAAAGTCTCGATTTTAACTTACATAAGTCTTTAGGAAAATATCTTTTTGTTTTTTAAACCTCTTGCTCAGGTACTCGTTTTGGCTCCAACAAGGGAACTGGCAAATCAAGTAGCCAAAGACTTCAAAGATATAACTAGGAAACTCAGTGTGGCATGTTTTTATGGTGGAACATCATATCAAAGCCAAAGTGAGTAAATATGTGTGAAAGAAGTGCAAAGATATGTTTGATACTTAAATTTAAAGAAATAATGTGAAAGTGTGATTTTCACATATTGGTGGCATTTCTCTCTTCTCACAGTTAATCATATTCGAAATGGTATTGACATCTTGGTTGGAACCCCTGGTCGTATCAAAGACCATCTGCAGAGTGGCCGATTGGATCTTTCTAAACTGCGCCATGTTGTACTTGATGAAGTGGATCAAATGTTAGATTTAGGTTTTGCTGAACAAGTTGAAGATATTATTCACGAATCCTACAAAACTGGTATATCCTAATTCAAAATAAGCACATTAGCAATTACTCTTCCATCTTAAGTTTTTATTTAATAATTTTTATTTCAGTGTCCCCAGTGTTTTAACAAAGTTCTAACTGTCTTCTATAGTGTCCCCCTGCGATTCATATTGACTAGAAAAGAATACTGCTGAGATAATTTGTTCTAACAAAACTAAAATAATTTGGTATCTGTTCTGTCTCTGAAAAAAGTATGATAGCATCCTTTTAACTATTTTCTTAGCTTCCTATGCTTTTTTCTATTTTTTTTTTATAGTCGGTACTTTTACTAACTCATTGATTTCTTTGTTCATTGTTCCTTCTTAAATTCTCCCCTTCCTTCTGGGTTCAGTTCTCTTCATAATTGTCCCCCATTTTTGCAAGTTGAAAATTTTAATAATTGCAATGAATTCTGTATGTTAAAAATCCACCCCAAGTTTTGAATTTTTCATTATTTTTTTGAAGCTTGGGGAGGATTTTTAAGAGCTGGCTACATCGTGGGAAATTAAGAAAACATTTGAATTCTTTTTGTTTATTTAAGATTCTGAAGACAATCCTCAGACTTTACTTTTTTCTGCAACTTGCCCACAGTGGGTATACAAAGTTGCAAAAAAATACATGAAATCCAGATATGAACAGGTTGACCTTGTTGGAAAAATGACTCAAAAGGCTGCAACCACTGTGGAAGTAAGTAGCTTTCTAGCATGATAGATTTTAGCTTTTAGTTGGTATTTACTTTTGACATTTGTTGAAGCTAAACCTAAGTTTTGGATTCTTATTCAGGCCTAATCTCTGTTTTCTGCTCTTAGTCAATAAAATACCTATTTATTTTTGTAGTCTGAGACTGAGTAGCAGAATAGAATAAATAGGGCAGGGGGTGAGGGAGCACATGAATAGGAAAGTCCTAATAGGAAACATACAAACAGCCATAGAGACAGATTTAAAGTATTTCTTTCTTTCTCTCTTTAAAGCAGCTAAAAAAAAAAAAAAAAAAAAAAAAAACCCAAAACAGCAAA